ATAAAATTCATTTATATTTAATAATTATTTATAAAATGTTAATCAATTTTAAAACTTAATACATGTGTTTTATTATAATAATTACAAAAAAAGTGAATTTAATTTATACAAGGGTTAATTTCACTTGCAGAAAGGTGAATAAATTTTATTTACGAAAAGGTGAATATGATCCACGAAAGGATTAATTTTAATTAATAATATTTAATAATAATATTAACACTTTGTATTAATTTATCGGTTTGATTAAATGATCATTTTCATTGGTTGCTCGACGTATTTTCCACTATGCTTTGTGAAAAAGCTACAAAGGTGCTATAACTGTGTTCCGAGATGTACGAACTTAGTAGTAAAACAGCTCGCTCGCGATAATATCATTCAGGAAGTTAAACCAACCTTGTTTCCGTGAGCCACTATGCATAATAATCTTCTTGACGATCCCGTTGACTGTATGACGTTAATTTTACCACGATAGGTGGAGTACCGTCAACGAGCGAAAGAAGTGGAGGGGGAGTCAGGACAAATTTCCGGAGAGTGAAACTTGGAGAAATTGGTCGACCGCCTGCTTCGTCCTATAATGAAGAGTCTGAAGCTCACTATACAAAGCCAAAAGTCTTGTCATTCGAAAGGGACTTTCCCATGAAATCTCCAGGCAAAGCTCCCGTAATAAGTATTAGCGCGATTGTTGGTGAAATTACGGAGAATCCAGACGACATTTGCACGGCGTTCGTAGAGGAAGAAGAGCTGATGGAAGGGGCTGCAAGTAGGGGAGGAGAACTGGAACATGATAAAAGTAATACGACGGACACTGCCGGGAAGGACTCGGCAAGTCCGGCTCAAACGGAAACGGAAACCGTGGAGTTGCTGGAGGAGGCACAGGTTGTTCCTGTTTGGAAACCGGACACTCAACAAAATGACCAAACAGCGCCTGTCACTCAATCAGCAGCTCAGCAAAAGCGTGACAATAACGTTAACGAAGTGTGCCCGTGGGAGGACGAGTAAGTACGAATTCTAATGTAGAGTACGAATTCTAATGGCAAAACGTACTCGAATACCTCTTAAAACACAATAGCTTTTTTGAGACTGGACTAAACGACTTGAATTTCTTTTAAATTTTAAAGGGACTAGTTTATTGTATAATAACTAAAACACTTAATTTTGCTATTACTTGGAATGACAAAAAAGAAATAGAAGAACTCCCATTTTTTAACTTTCTTATCTAAACCTGCATCGAAAATATAAAAAATACATCTTGTAGATGTCGGAATCGTATATGCATGCTGAAGTCACTGAAAGATGTAAAAATTACTTTGAAAAGTTGAAATCCGGAAAAAGCTGCGATTTTCACGATCTTTAAATTGCTTGTAACTGTGGCCAGAATGAGGGTTGCACATGTTTAAATGCTTATAATAATACACTGTGCTATGAATAATTGTAGACTCGAAGTAACTTTTATGTTTTTAGTGTCAGTCCAACAAAAACTTAACGAAACACTGTATTCGTATATTTCTATATTAAAAATAATAGAAAATACATATACGATTATGATATATTTTTTTAGTTTTTATTTAGATGTCAGTGATGATTTAACAGTTACTTTGAATTTATAAAAATATATATAAAAATATACCGTTGTACTTAGGAGAGTCAATAGCAGTGTTTCCCAACGTGGGACAATTTTAAATATTTCAAGGAGTAATTATAAAATAATTGTTGACAATAAATCATCGATGTTTCAATCCTAACGTTCGAAGAAAAATGTGACAGCGTCATAAAATAATAAGTAGACTGCGGATTTCATGCATTTATAATAAAAACGAGTGGGAACAATTTAAACAGTGGACAAATTATAATAATTATAGAGTATCGATATATTATCGTAAATTTGTTAAAAGTATTGAAGGAAAAGTTAAATATATATCTGACAACTGCCTCTTACAATCGATGTAGAAAAATTTTATTTTACACAGAGATTCGCAGTCTAATGATGACTATAAAAGGAACAATGAAATGTCTTTGCGGCTAAATAGAAACAAAATACCTAATTTCAACTAGTTTTGCAAGAAAATTACTGTTACCCTTCTCTTCGTCATATTTAGCTGAATGTGACTTTAGTGCTGTAAATAAATTGTTAGCGAAAAAAAGAAATTGTTTGGATATTACGCTTTTACGTGACGTAAAACATTGAAGAAAATCGATGTAAAAAGAGCTTTACTTAAGCAGTTAAGGTGTTGTCAAAAAATATTGGGAAACACTGATTTTTATAATCGTTCTGCGTTAAAATCATCGCATAGTTTATACAATAAAATTAGGAGAAGTTTGTAAAATTAAAAATTTGTCTTTATTTATACGTTATTCATGCATATGTTAATTATAATTGTAATTGGTGCATTGTGATTTTACGCGACTTTTTGATAAAAGTCGTAAAAAAAACAATTAGTTTGACTATTCAGTGTTTCTATTGTTCTTTGAAATACGTCGACTAACAATTGAACTTTGTCGTTTGTTTCAGGGAAAACTGTAGAGTGGATGCACCCTATGTAAAAACTTATTCAACTTTAGGTTATTTGTAACTTGGCGTTAACACTAAACTTACATTTTACACGTAAACATTCAGTGGTTCAATTTTGATTTCACTTCTAAATTCGAGTGCCCGAGCTATTGAAGTTGCTTCGTCATTATTTCCGTTTCCTCGATTAGTTCGCGATGGGAAGCCAGTGAACCGAAGTATTGTTTGCCATTACGGTTTGATGCGGAGAAGAAACATCGTTTAGACGGAGAACAAAAATCGGATGGAGAGACATCGTTTACAATCTTAAATATAACGTACACTTATGCACTCGCGTGCAGTCCCACGATTTGCTGTGAATAAGTAGCGATAGAAACTTTAACACGCTGAAATATAATATATACGGCATTTTATCGAAATGCATTTAACGCTAATAAACGGAAAAATACTTCTCGCAAGTTACATCGCCTTGAGAATAGTAACTTAAAAGTACCTACTGAGCCCATGTTATTAAATTAGATACGTCGCATAATATACCAGTTTGATTTGATTCTGGTAGAACACGATATTATTCGTTTATAGAAATTTGTGCAAGGCGTGTTTCTGCATTTATAGACGTGTAAGCTGTTAAATTCAAATGTACATTAGAATAAAAACACGTATAATGAGATTAGAAAATGAATTGTGGTTCGAGAAAAGGATAAATAGTGTCGTATCTGTGTATGTCGCTAAGCGATGAAACGTAATTTAAGATATTCGATGGTATTTCTCTGTTACAATTACGAAAATAGAAGGGCGTAATTAACGTGCACGTTGGGTGATGAAGTTTTAGGTTTAGCACACTGTGAAAAGTATTAAACGCAAAGTTACGATTCGCGGACGCTTGTCAAACATGAGCCCATTGACCGCTCCAGCAGATCGTAAATTTCTTTAATACTTAATCCCATGTGAACAATGATTTCTTTTTTCATATGTGAAAACGATCATAGCGATTGTTAACTACTTCGGTTACAGAAAAATTTGTCTCGTTTTTATGAACTTAAGTGACCATTACTCGTTGCATTTCTTTCGTTGTTTATTCGTTGAACACACGATTTCTTGAAAATGTTACAGTTAAATCCCAATAGTGCATTATCTGTAACAATATATAAGTGATTCAGATTACCGTTCGCAATAGGATAGCTTTAATGTGGTAATGTTTAATTATTATCCAGTGTAGGTAGTAGCCGTGCATTTACCCTATACATGATAAGTACCTAAATACAACAACTATATTTAAAGCGATATTAAACTTACTTACGGCCTGATCTTACAACGGCCTGCGCAATGTTTAAGAAATAGAGGAAAAACGAAATTGTTCCGTTTCGATAATAGTAGCTCAGTGTGCAAACTGTCATTAACCGCCGTTCGTAACTATGCGAAATTAAGTCTAAAGAAGAAAGGCCAGGTGAAGCTAGATAAGGACGTCGGAATAACGATTCGACTGTCGATTTCCCCCGAAATACTGATATATAATACATAAATTATTCTCCGATAATACTTCGGAGGTGTGATGGATTCTAGGTACTGTTACTGCCCAGTGCCTGGAATCCGTGGATTTCGATTAGGTAGAACGTGATAAAATTATAAATAAACGTACGATTAATCTATTTTAATTCTCCTTAGAAAATATATCGAAACTGTTTGATAAATATAACCCGGATCACTCGTATTTTAAGAACGAGAGAATCCAATGATGCATAATACCATGAAACTATGTAGATTGTAGATAGCCGTATCGAAATGTTGCACGAAACGTGAACAAAGATACGGAACAAGCGGTGTACGGAGCAATTGTATCTGCTCCTTTTATCGAACAAAATTAATATGTTTTTATAAGATGAAACGTAAAATGGAGAGAGTATCGATGATATAGAATCGATCATTGTCCTGGCGAAGGTTCGAACAGTAGACGCGCAACTGAACGAAAGAAATCCATGTTTCACGTCGAATAAGCTCGTTGAAAGTCGTTGAAGTCTTGCCTAAAAAGAACCGTGTCGAACGGGAACACGTTTGAATATTAGCCAGTGAATGTTTCGACAGGCGATTATATATTCCTTGCATTGATTTCGTTCAGTTTCTACACAGTACTATCTACAAAGTAAAGAAGAATTAGCCTAGAGATAAAAAAGTAAAGTAGTCTGTACTAGAGTTCGGGCACTCGAGACAAGTCCTAAGAAACTTTCAAGTATTGATAATGAATCGTAATGGTAATTTGGGAGCTCCCCATAACTATTGTAAACGATTCTCATTATAGATAGGTAGTCGATAATAAGATGAAAATGACAAATATATTACAGTCCTTAGGGAAATGAATATAACAAGTACAGCATAGGTGTTGAAATAATTCAGTTAAATCGTGACTGAAACTATTTAAGCGAGGATAGTTTCGTTATATACGACTGGATCTTATTTGCGAGCTGTGGTGACTCATGAACAAATGGAATATCTATGTTCATTTACATTACCTTATAAAATTCCACTGAGCAGTCCTCAGACGATTCTCCTGAAAGAAGCTTCAAAACGAATCAAAAAAAAAAAACTATTTTTGTTCTCCATACTCAGAGATATTTATATACACAGATATATTATACGCGTTGTGTCGTACTGTCTGTTCAACTCGAAACATAAAAACTGAAAAAGATAGATTTTACTGATCGTGTATTATAGTAGTGGTCTTATTATCATTCAAGGGACAGCTTGAAGGATCGCTATGCAACCTGGGATCTCTTGTCACCACGTCATTTCGTTTCACTTTTTAATACGGCTATATTACGAAAACTATTAAATATAAAATCTAACAGCGAACGTAGTTAATTGAAAACTGCTGATCACTGATTCCGACGAAATTATACATGTATATCTACGTTGTATCAACACCTAGTGTTTACACAGGGAACTTCAAAGCATGTAAGCAGAATTTCGGACGATAATTGTGCACGCTAGACTAATAAAACCAGTTTAAAGAAGACAGTGCCCTAGTCAAAATTATTTCCAGTTTGTTGATATTTTTATATTTCTAAGCCGAATTCATTGTGAAGCCCCAAGAATCGTTTCAAATGGTTAGTGATATTTTAGTCACTTTGTCATTTGAAATAGTGACAAAAAACGCTTCAAGCTTAAAAGTCGAATCGAACAAAATTTATGTTTGGGATTCTTTTATTGTACATATACACAAATTCAATTTAGCTCCGAACAGATGCTTATATATTTTGATACACCCTCTACATACAAAGACAGTATTAAATAAAAAGTAACAAGAGATATCCATAATACTTCTGAGAAAGTACAAGCTCAAAAATTGTTGACTTTTATTACTTGAAATATAACGAAGATTATCTTCTTGAGTTAGTAATGGATTTTTTAAGTCGGTTGAAGAACTTTCAAATTTACTTAAACTATTTCCGTACTAGCATTTCCTTTACTTAAACTAGATTCCGTACGAATAACACTTTTCACTACGTAAAAACGATCCTATTTCTGAACTATAAACGTCTTCCAATATCTCGCATAAATAAAGAAAGCAAACACAAGAACTTCTAAAAGTAATTCGTTATTTTGAATCGTATCTCTAATTGAAAGTTAATATATTATAAAAAAAACGAGGAAATAGAGCAAGAATAACACTTACGGTATAATATAATTTTCCTACTTCTTTTCTATTAGTAAAAGTGACGTTTATTTGTTTGTTAACTAGAGATAATTTAAGTCATATGTCAATCATGTTTGCCAAATTTTACATAGAATACATTATCATCAATGTTGTCGTAGACAATATTTAATCAAGAATGGATCGTTAAAAATGGACAGTTTCGAAATGGATCCAAATATTTCATTCTCTCTTTTCAAGCATGCGACGGTCTTTACCGAGAATATGTAGTTTAAGCATGTTATGTGCGTATAATTTGCTAGATGAATTTGTTTAACTTCAACGAATACATAATACATATACAGTAATCTATTGTAAGATGCTTCAAATTGATACTCAATTTGCAAGATGCCCTAATGAATGCCAACGTCTTCTTCTTCTTCTTGTTTTTTCCTCTTCAGCCTGAATAGTTACGTAACAAATACAATTAAACGAATACAATTGAATGAGCCATATTTACCACCGAAAGACTGACAAAGTACCTGAAAACCCCAACAAAAACTACATGCAACGAGGCTCCTAACGACAAAGTTGAAAACGACAAGTAGCGTTGTCTGAACGTTTCGATATCGAAAACATCGCTGACGGAAATTACAAAAAGGAAAACAATCGTGTCGCGTTTGTAAGGAAATGGGTGACCGATTCAAGATTTTAGTGATCCTTGGAGCGTCCCATGATCTTTTATCTGAACTTTGTATTAGATAAATTTATTATTATACATTGCTTTCACGCGTGTTCGAGAAGTTGTATGCCTAGCAGTTTAGCGTTACAGTTAAGAGAGTAATCTACAACCTGTTATTACACGATAAGTTACGTGAATACGTATAGTGTTTAAGTTGGAGCTGCATCATTTAGAGACGATCGGAAACGGATTAATTACTTTGCGAAGACAGTTCTAGCGAGATTGGAAATAACAATATAGCAAACGAAGGGTTTAGAAAGGATAACCAATTGTGATGTGCTAAAGAATACTGTTTTATTAAAGACGTTATTTTCGATCAGCTAAAGCTCGACAATTCACTAACGAATAAGTAAACGAGGTCTTTACATTCCGCAAGTACATACTTGAAAAATGGACTCTAACGTGCTTTTGTATTCACAGTTTCCAAGTCTTTGACTCTTGTGAACGGAAACGAAGGATTAAGTTACTGCTTCAACGAGAGATAAATGGAGAAACAAGAAGCGCGAAAGAAACACAAAGATGAAATCATACATGGACACATAGAACTGCTCAAAAGTTTGGGATCGGAACAGAGCTTGAACTTTTCAATGGTACATACTTGTACAATTGGACGAACGTTCGAACTTCGAAACATTTCAAATTGATACATCCTAGTCGTAAGTAAATTACGGATTGTATGTATATATAATAGAAACGATTAGTCGCAGGTCAAAGTAGTGGATAAATTCAAATAATTAAAAAGTATCGATGTATTACTTTCAACTTGTTAAAATATTGTTAAAGAAAGAATTCAATGCATGTTCAGCAGCTGTCTGTTGCAACTGACAGAAAATTTGTATTTTACATAAATATCCACAGTCTAATTGTAAAAGGAACAACAGAATCTTCATATAGTACTATGATTTTAAAACATTTCATGTTTTTTCTACCGAAAGAATTATAATTACAAATATAAACATTGAAAAAGATCGTCATAGCTTGACGATCATTTAGCTCATATAAATTCCGAACATAGAAATGATACAGAAAAATAGTAATAAATTTTCTTCTTTATTTTTCTTTCATAAAACGTAGCCATTCGAAATGATCCCAAATTGTTGAGCGATGGTGAATACGAATATATACAAATATATATGAGCCGTTGTATTGTCATCAGATATGATCGTTCAGTAGTTATCATATTTAGCCGAAATTGATTAACTCGCTCATCTCATTTGATCCGTGCCGTACTAGAATAAACGAAGATTCCTAGCGAAGTTCTGATCGATAAAAGCTGATGCGACCACGTATTTTAAATTTATCAGAAGAGGCAATAGCACAAATAGGGACCATTCGTTTATTTCCATGAACACACCCACCAAACGGCACGAATAAAATGTAATAGATGAGCGAAACAAGGGGGCAGAAAATAACCTTTGTACAATACAGATTTTGTGATTGCGTTAGTGATCTGCAGCGCGCCTACCATGTTTCATTTGGATGCTGCATTAAACGCATCTGGTCGGTGAATTATCGTTTCGTGTGCTGGCATGGACGAGAAAACCTAAATAGAAAACTTGTTATGTGTAAGTAAGAACCGACTTAGTTTTTATCACGTCTCAGCATTCCGCGATACCCTAGGAAAGTTTACAACTAATTGTTATATTATAAATATAGATATTCATTGTATATAAAATTCGATTTAAAAACTACCGATCGGAACTCGGTACGGTTTTATGTTAAATTGAGTTACAGTGGAACCTCGGTTACTAATCGAATGATCGAACGATCTCGTTCGTGTAAAAAGAGAATCATTTATTTTGAAATATTTGATTAATCGTAATAATAAACGAAAGTATAACTAGAATAAGAATACGATACTCCTCTTCGTTCGGACATTCTTCTAATCTTTTTTCAATTATCAACTAAAAGATCTCATCCGAAGTGGTTGTTTTCAAAGGTTGTATCTTAAAGTCCAATTAAACGCAATAAATTGATTCTAAACTTTAGATCTTCGTCGCTTACTTTACATCGTACAATTTATGAAACCACTTGTCTTAGAACTGTAAGTACTTTGTGAATTTCTAAATGTTTATGAACGTTTGATTTCAACAATATTTCGTCATCAACACGTACATGTATCTCCTTTATTTAAAAGACAACATTGTTCAGTTTCAGATAATCAAATATTTTGATAATTTCTAATGTTTGGAGGTTCTGCTGCGTATCTCACTTTCGAATGCAAATGTCGTATTAAAACGGTTCGTTTTTCTGGAGTGTCTAACATATGGATTCTATTCTAACAAAAGAAGCAAATTCGCAGCGCTTCTGTTTTTGAACGAAAAACAGAACATGTCCTAGAATAGAAGAAGGCTTTAGTGTACATAGTTTTGTAAAGTATCAACAGTGTATAGTCACTCAAATAATTCAACAGAGCTAAGCCGACTTATTCACGTCATTAGAGGCCAATATAAGTTATATGTGACGAGTTTTCATTGTGAAATTAAGATATCCAACGCATGGTGAATAATGCGCCCGCAGAAGTTCGCCGCGATTACTAAGAAGTAAACTTATTGCATTGAAGAAGTTTTGCGACGCGTAATTAAATAACTGATCAGTTTATCGAATGTAGCTGCGATTACGCATGCGTGTATGTGTGTACGAACCCACGCGTATACGTAAAAGCAGAAAGAATGTTGTTCGTTACATATATAATATGTGATACGTACGTAATGTTTTAAGCTGTCAATAGAATGTCCTAATATTAAATATTATAGTGACATTAATTATGTGTTCTTTTGATATCTCCAAACTACGTGAATTCCACTTTAATTACTATAATGCATTCCTCTCCTGAAAAGCTTACGATTCAATCCAAAGTGAACATGATTTCCTCACTCCTCTCCGTGCAAATTAAAAAATAACTTAATTTTACTATATCCAAAGAACGGTATAGTTATTATCCAAATAATAATCGTTTATATTTAATAACTAGACTGCGGATTTTTATGCAACATAAAAATTGTCTGCAATAATTGCAATATACAGATGCTACGTAGATATTTATTTCATTCCATAATCATTTGAACGAGTTGAAAATAAAGCATCTGAATTTTGAAAATCCTTAATTGTTTTTACGTTTTTATATTTCATCAATTCAGTTTTCATCGCAGTCTACTGATAACATAAAAAATAAGAACCTTTACAAGCTTCAAAAATTTCAATTTGAGAAAAAGAAATTAGAAATGTTCGATTAAATTTTTGTAATTCTAATTCGGAGAATAAAGTTATTTTTCAAATTGTATACATATACATTTGATTTACATTCAAATTAATATTAATATCTATGAAATGAACCTGATCTTGTGGTTCTAGATGCATAGTGAAAAGGAAACGTGAAGATGCAATACAAAATAAAGAACAGGATGGTTCTGTATCTGTAGTGTGATCTGTAAAATGTGAATCTTAAACTACAATGAAATTGGAATCAATGAATTGGATATCAATTGATTCTAATTATCAAATCCCAGACACAGATTCATCACGCGAAACGCGCCTACCCGATTGAGAAATGTGATAGCACCTAGTTGCTACATTTAAAAACATAGCAAAACGCATTCTTTTCAATACATATATTCTACGATTCTTATATATGATACCCAGGTGCAAGTGCTTGAACTAAAGAGAACGTCCCGGGTCGCTTCCGTCACTCGAACGATATTCAGCAGTATTCAACGTTCATATTCTAACAAAGTACGTACCAACGCTTAAATCGATTGACAAGCTAGCGCACATTGCGATATACTTAGTAATTAATTTTGTTCTGAATTATTACTCAAAATTTATATATAATATTTTGTTCGAATTGATATTGTTATATTTTAATTCAGATCATTCTTATAAAATTTGCACGATTTTTTTATAATAATCTTTTTTTCTATGCACAATTGAAAGTTTCATAATAATATATTATATGAAAGTTTGTTTTTAATCAACCATTAGTTTATAATATAGACTCTCAGAAAATATGATATTAAACAATCGACGTATTTCCCACTGCCTAATCACACAATCATATTAGTGGGAGAATACATCGTACACGACACGCAAACCTACTCATGCCCTCATTCATTTGACTCACACTTGGGATAGTCAATGAGTTAGGGTTGAAAATTTAATGAGCACGGCCATTGTGAGTCTCACTTACCTTTGGCTTGCTGTAAATTCTAAACTAAAATAGTGATTAGTGATAGTACTAAGCGGACTAATTTATTATGTTTCATTCCTGAACAATGCAAGAAAAGAAAATTATTCAGAAAGTAGTTTAAATGAAATTACGTACTAGTGAAGAAATTGAATTTATAAAATTTACTTGTGTAAAATTATTTGGATAAAGAAACATTATTAGTTTGGTCATATTAATTATTCCTTTTAATCATGTATATTTTAATAATAAACTCATCGATCGTTTCTGTTCTTGAAGTAAACGATTCAAGAAATGCATACGCAAGTATTATCTCAAAGTTTAGATCTGCCCCGACACGAAATGCTTTCTTGCACATGAGTATGATACGTTAACAATGATATATAATATTATATATATAAAATACTGTATTAGGAAATGTATATACAAATATATTTTCTATGTATATACTGTAACACCAGGGTTCGGATCGGTGGGGGGATCGAAATAAATCTCGAGGCGCTATTATCAAAATAACAAAAATTAAACTTTATTATAGAACAACGCGATTACAACTTATTTATATTCCAGAGAAACGAAAGAAATGAAACCGCTTTGATGTGAAATAAAATAAAATACAACTTTGATCTTAGCCCACATTAATTCTACTCCGCTGCGAGCCGCTGCTCCAACACGTCGCCTCTTTCCTGTTGCACTTTCTCGAGTCGATGTCCTGGTCTCGCGATCATCCCCGGATGCTACCTATATTCCTGGCCCGAGGAGTAGGAGCTCCGACTTACCCCACAGCTGCCTATCCCCTGGCCACTTCCGCTATTTGTAAGAGAATCAAGCGAGTGTCAATCGCTATTATCAGGTGAAGAAAGAAGGCGGGATAATTTATTGGTCCCCTCAGGTCCCTCGTGCTGAAAAGGATGCGTTGACCAGCGTTCTTTCCACGCACCTTCCCTGCACCGCCCCCCCCCCAGCCACCTATCCAAGAAGGACTTTGGGTTTAATCCGGCCGGCAAGCTCCCACCAGAAGGACCTTGAGGCAACAACCTGGGATCAGCCACGCAGGCTGTGTTCGCCACACCTCTCTCTCACTTATGTTTATCCCGCCTTGGACAAACTAGAGAGGGTGAAGGCACTGTTCATCCGGGCGACTTGTTTGTGCCTCGAGATCTAATGCCCGCGCGGAACCAGAAGGACCTGGGACCTGGAAGAGGGCGGTGGCGCAGTGTCCTTTGGGAGCCGGTTAAGCAAGAAGCACCTTGCTGCCAGGCTCCCGGCGAAACACTCTCGAGTGTTTCCTTTTCTTTTATTTTTATGTCTTGAAGTGAAGTATCTGTCTCTGCCTGTGTGCCAGGCTCACCAGATAAATGACGTTTATGGAGTTACCTACGGGTAGTGAGAATTTAGTAAAAAAAAAGTGATTATTGGAGGAAAATTTGCAAAAAAAACTCCGTCAGATGTGTGGATTGTTTGATATAATTCAAGCTATGTCAATGCGAGAATTTATTGAAGGAATATGAAGCATGGAATGAAATATAAGGTTAACTGTAAGTTAAGAGGATGGAGGGTAGTAAGTTGTGTATTGGGATGGTTACTAGAGCTTATATGAAGTAATATGCTGAGTGGGTGGAATGGGGGTTGGTGGAGGTGGGAGTGAATTGAAAGAGTGAGAGGGATTATAGTCGAGACAGGCTATTAGTGTAGTGTATGTGGTGCGATGTGATTGTAGCTCCTGTAATAGTAGAGTTGTAGGTGGAACTACCGATGTGAAGTATCCAGGTGTGGAGAAGATGAAGAACGAGTCCTAATGTTATGGGCTGAAAAGTAGCTGCATACTTTGATTAATAGTATGCTTGGAGGTGACTAAGTACGGCGGAAAAAGGTGGAGTAAACTCTAAGGTGACCAGAGAAGCTGTAATAAATGAGAATGGAGAAAGACTGGGAGAAGTCAGAGGAGATCAAAAATTCTCTGCGGACTCCTCTTGTCCGCAAAGAGTATAGTTCATTTTAAATGGATGGAGGATGAGTATGAGTCGAGTAGTGATCGAAATATGAATAGGTTAGTCGCACCCAGTTGTTTATTTGGAAATAATGCGTTGACGCTACGTTTTAACGTGGACCAACCATTGATTCGATATGTCAAATCGAGCCTTTGCTTCGGGGTCGTTGAGGAATTAGAGTGGGAATTCAATTTTTGTTCTGTATGGAATTTTGAACCCATCATATGTACTGGTGAAAGAGATTAGCGGGTTGATATGGGAAGTGGATTGAAATTTAGCTATGAGATGGAATAGGTAGACATTTTTTTGATGTTGGGAATGTTGGTGTTGTGAAGGAGAACCTCTGTGGGGAAGCGCCGGTGAGAGTCGGTTATCATCTTGAGAATCTTGTTTTGGATTATTGTGAATAGTCGAAATAGCTCTTAGGATTTTGGATATGGGGACCACCATACGTGTGCCCCACATATAAGAATGGGCCTGATACAAACTTTATAGGTCAGCAGTCTTAAATTAAAACTGAGACGCGAGCTGGTATTTAAAATGTTCGTTATGCCAAAAGCTGCTTTGGAGTTTTGGTGGCTCTGTCTCTAGCAGTTTCCAACCAAATGAGTTTATGGTCAAGCTTTAATCTGAGGTAGGTGACGGTTATTGACCAGGGGAGTGGATGTTGCTGAATTTAAAGTTGAGACAAGCAATGAACAGAGTGTTTACGTCTGAAAGTGAAAATAATAGCTTAGGTTTTAATGGAATTTATTCGGAGTTTCCAAGTGTTGAAGTAGCAGTCGATTTTATTTAAGTAGTTTTGCATTTTGGGCATTAGCACTAAGTTGCCAGGATGACGACAACAAGACAGTGTCGTCGGTAAACAAGGCCAGGGAGCATTGCTCGTGAGCAATTATCATTGATGTATAAGTTAAAGAAGACCGGGCCAAGGATGGAACCTTGGGAGATTTCGGCCGTAACTGTGTAATGCCGAGAGTGGTGTCCGTTTAAATTGACAAAAAATGTTCTATTGGCTAGGTACGATTGGATAATTTTTATTGTATGGAAGTGGAAACCGAAAAGATGTAGTTTGTATAGCAAGGCATTGTGCTAAACTGTATCGAATGCTTTAGCTAAGTCTAGAAAAATTAGTATTGAGTATCGATGGGTGTTCATTTCATGAGTGATTAACTGCGTAAGGCGAACGATTTGGTAAGTAGTAGAGTGCTTTTTACAAAAGCCAAATTGTTGCGGAATTAGTATGTTGTGAGTTTCTATGGTCATTTGGATTAGGCGTAATAAGCATTTTTCCATGATTTGACCACAAATCGGTAGAAGACTAATAAGTCTGTAATTACTTGGTGGGTTTGCTGGGTTTGGGTATGGGAATGATTTTGGCTACTTTCCATTGGGAGGCGCTGAATATGCTGATTTAATGTTATAATATAATTGAATTGTTACTTTAAAGGATGCGTGGGAACAGTTACATGATCCGGCCCGGGCACTTTCTTGAGTCTCAGTTTTTTTATGATATTTTGAATAAATTAAGGGTTAATATAAAGAAAAAATGTATTGTCGGTAGTATTGGTCTCGGCAAGGTTGGTGACGAACTCTTTAACGATGGTATCCTTGGATGATAATATTGAGAATGTTTTGAGATGAATTTGCTCGAATGTATCAGCAAAAATGTTCGATTTGGCGTGGTTACCGTATATGGTAGAGTGGTCAGTGTTTAGCGGAGGGATAATGCGTGATTTATTGTAAGTGTAATTTATTCTTGAGTTTGTCGTTCCATAATTGGATTTTAAGGTGTGATATTTTAGGTTTGATCAGTTTGGTGAGAATTTTTATGGCGTCAATTGAAGTATTCTTGGTTGCGTTTATTTGGTGTAATTGTTGTGGCTATGGATTTGGTTCTGCAGAAGTATAGGAAGAGATTGAGGTCGGTAATGGTTCAGTCTATGTCAATTGGAGATTTCAAGTTGTAATTTAAGTGCATCTAGGCGATTAATTTGGAGTAAAGATCCCAGTTTATTTTTGGAAGATAAAGAATGGTATGGCAGGGATCAAGCGGGAGAATTATAACCGGTTGGTGGATAGTAGGGGTTGGTGGAGGAGGTTGGGGTTGGTGTTGGTCAATAAAAGATCAATAGTTGAGGGTCTGCAGCGGCGAACGAAGCAAGTGGGCTCCGGAGGAAAGATAATTCTATAATCTGCCCCCAGCATATGACTATGTATTGTAATATTGAGCCGGACGGATTAGCGAAATGGTTGTTCCAAAGCTGGTGTTTCGCGTTCAAGTCCCCGCCGATGGCGTAGGTTCCACCCGCACCAATTCTGACCAGGCGATCCAAGCCGCTCGGGTCGATCCGATTTCCGGGAGGACTATATACTGTAGAGAAAGTGATATTGTGTTCAACTAGGGTGGTGGCTACTGTTTCTATGAAAGAGATGCGTGACGTGTCTAATATATGAAAGATGAAAGAGTTGGGTAAGAGGATGGCGACATTCCCTTGACGTCGAGTTTTATCTTTGCGAATGGTTGTATAGCCAGGAATGATAAAGGTGATGGATTGATTGAGCCACAGGTTTCAGAAATTAGGACTACCTGAATCTGTTCGGACTGAAGGACGTGAATTAGTTCTTGCTTTCTATATATATATATATATAAGACGGAGTGGGTATTCCAGATTAGTATTTTGGGAAATTTCTAATCTAGGGTGGAAAGGACTTGAAGGTATGCTTGAAATTTTTCTACGTTAGTGTTACATGTTCTGAGTAGTCTATTAAGGGTAGTTATGGTGGACAACATAAGCTGGATGTTGGATAGCTATTTTAATACTTGGACAGCAGAGACTAAGTCAGGGAAGTCGTTCAATCCAGGAGTATTATTGGGCGGCAGAGGTGCTTGTCGGGAAGTGGAAGAAGCTATCTGGACATATGGCCTGGGGGACATGGTGCGAGTGGGGGCCCCCGATGTGTGCCGTACCGGGAACGTCGCCTACTTTGTTCTCTGGTGTTGCAACCAGAGAACCAGATTTTATTGTTCTGGGAACGTAGGGTGGGTTTTTTGGNATTCTTGGTTGCGTTTATTTGGTGTAATTGTTGTGGCTATGGATTTGGTTCTGCAGAAGTATAGGAAGAGATTGAGGTCGGTAATGGTTCAGTCTATGTCAATTGGAGATTTCAAGTTGTAATTTAAGTGCATCTAGGCGATTAATTTGGAGTAAAGATCCCAGTTTATTTTTGGAAGATAAAGAATGGTATGGCAGGGATCAAGCGGGAGAATTATAACCGGTTGGTGGATAGTAGGGGTTGGTGGAGGAGGTTGGGGTTGGTGTTGGTCAATAAAAGATCAATAGTTGAGGGTCTGCAGCGGCGAACGAAGCAAGTGGGCTCCGGAGGAAAGATAATTCTATAATCTGCCCCCAGCATATGACTATGTATTGTAATATTGAGCCGGACGGATTAGCGAAATGGTTGTTCCAAAGCTGGTGTTTCGCGTTCAAGTCCCCGCCGATGGCGTAGGTTCCACCCGCACCAATTCTGACCAGGCGATCCAAGCCGCTCGGGTCGATCCGATTTCCGGGAGGACTATATACTGTAGAGAAAGTGATATTGTGTTCAACTAGGGTGGTGGCTACTGTTTCTATGAAAGAGATGCGTGACGTGTCTAATATATGAAAGATGAAAGAGTTGGGTAAGAGGATGGCGACATTCCCTTGACGTCGAGTTTTATCTTTGCGAATGGTTGTATAGCCAGGAATGATAAAGGTGATGGATTGATTGAGCCACAGGTTTCAGAAATTAGGACTACCTGAATCTGTTCGGACTGAAGGACGTGAATTAGTTCTTGCTTTCTATATATATATATATATAAGACGGAGTGGGTATTCCAGATTAGTATTTTGGGAAATTTCTAATCTAGGGTGGAAAGGACTTGAAGGTATGCTTGAAATTTTTCTACGTTAGTGTTACATGTTCTGAGTAGTCTATTAAGGGTAGTTATGGTGGACAACATAAGCTGGATGTTGGATAGCTATTTTAATACTTGGACAGCAGAGACTAAGTCAGGGAAGTCGTTCAATCCAGGAGTATTATTGGGCGGCAGAGGTGCTTGTCGGGAAGTGGAAGAAGCTATCTGGACATATGGCCTGGGGGACATGGTGCGAGTGGGGGCCCCCGATGTGTGCCGTACCGGGAACGTCGCCCACTTTTTCCTTGGTGTTTCAACTAGGGAACCAGATTTTACCATTCTGGGAACGTAGGGTGGGTTTTTTGGGCCCATACGCTGACTAGGTGTTATTTTATTTTTCTTCTTGACCAGAGCAGGACACAGTCGTGATAATTGGCCGTATTGTCTATTGGCCGACTCGTCTTGTCTGTGTGAAATTGAAGATCTTTCGAGAGACTATGCGACTTTCTCTGCATTCCTCGATTAGTCTCGCTAAGAAAAACTCATCAAGGAATTACCTATACTCAGCTATTGCTCTTGGACAGTAATGCATATCTATGAAATATACGATCTCAACGTTACATTTTACATTTAAATTTCCCTCCTGTCGCCATTTATATGGACCATATAATATATGTAGTAGCGCTGTCGTAACATTAAGTAGTAGCTATGTTCGCATCGGTCATGCAATGAAGCAATACAACAATGCAAAACTTTAAACTTACATATTTCCTATAAAAATTCTGCCAAAAATTGCAACATCAGACTTCTGATCACGTTATGAATTTAATGTCAAATCATGACATTTTATTTAATTATATAAAAAAGCAAATTATTAACCTGATTTGTACAAGCTGCTAAGTACACTGCCAAGGAAGACTGATGGGCCACGATTACGGACGTTCTTCCTTCGCACAGGATAAATCGGCGCTTCTGATTGGTCGAAGGTGACATCACAAAGTATTTGTACAATAGTTTCTCGTGGCAATGGGTGAGTTTGGGAGGCCAAAACTGTTAAACAACTTTACGATATTATCTAAGATTGAAGGAATGTTATAAATACTATAATAATGAAAAAATAAATTGATCTAACATCCCGTAATGATAATTATTTGTTACAAATACCTAGTATCAGTTTAAAGGTTGGAATTCGAACAATTGCATTATTTCAATTAAAAGTCGCTTGTACGAGAACAGGAATGGTCAAACTTTTGATCACTACGGGGTTTTTTTTTAATTATAGGCGACAATCTACCAACATCGTAAGAAAAGTAGTTATTTAAAGCCAAAAATAAGTTTAAATTAAAAATAAACATAGATAATGTACTAAAATGTTGTTTCACTTATAAAATTAAATAAACGGTAATTACTTACCTTACAATGATTTCCCCGTTCTTCATCACATTTCTCTACCACACAAAACAAGCACGTAGATCATTTATGATCAAGAGTCAACCGAAATTGTATATATATGATTTGCAAATAAGATTTCCATTTGTATAAAATAATGTTTCGATGCAACTAAATATAAATATCATATAAAAAAATATTATCAATTATCAGCAATAAACTTTGGGTCGAAAATTCGAAAAAATGAAAAGTCTCATCAGTGTTGACACGAAAAAGCGAGGATTCTAGTTTACTAGCTGATTGTTTTATTTAGGCAGAGGGCGTGAAAGAACCTCTGGTTTTTAACAATGTCGGTATTTCAGAACATGTGACACGGAATTCTATATGGTGTCCAGTCTGTTTTGATACCTCGTTTGTGTTATAACTTCGAAAGAGCAATCATCAGATTTTTTGATCGCAGTTTAAAATGTCATATCTAAACATGAAATGATAGAATATTTGCCTAATATATTACAATAACAATTTATATTATTGATATAGCTATTACATGATAAATAGATTTTAATACGCTTGGAAAATGATGGAAATAGATTGGTATATTTTTATACATATATATGATTTATTTCTTGTTAATCTACAACAAATAGAAAATGTTCAAACTCTAAATATTTAATATTTTATAGGATTGCAAAACCTGTAAACTATAAAACAATACGATTCGCATGTTTAGAAGAAGCAGTAGACCATCCTTTAAAACCTATTACTGTTATGGTAAGATAGTATTTAAGTGTTTAAGAAAACTATATAGACAGATTTTTGACAATGTAATTAGTTTTCTTTTTCATTATATGGTTGCAGTTAATTGATGGGCGTAGTGGAGTGAAGCGCAATGCATTACAACATACACATAATAATTTATCAACTAATACACCAGTTCCACTATCTGGAAGTACCATACCTGATCCACTATTAAGCCATTCTTCACTAGATGGATCGGATCCTCTGTCACAATTTGCTAGACAGGAATTAGACCCTTTATCTAAAATGGCTGCAGATGAGGTCTGTAAGTTAGAAAAGAGCTAAACTAGTGGTGATCTAACCGAGCAAAATGTTGTATGCTATATCCTTTATTATTCGTGGTTTAAAATGTAATATTTATTTTATAGTGGGACTATTCTAGCAATACTACTACTGCAAGTAAAAAAGTTAAAGATACTGCAGAAGAATTAGTAGAACCTTGGTCAACAAGACGTAATGCAATATTAAGCAAATATACAACTTCAGAAAAGCTATCGATTGTTACTAGCTTTTTATCAGGTGGTGAAAAAGGTATATTTTCCTTTTTATAAATGAGGTATGTTTGTATGTAATTCTATGAAATCACATTTATTTTGAAAAATTTATTATAGTTGTTAAAGTTCAACCAACTGGTGGTGTAGTAGATAAGGTAAGGACGAGATTGGAACAACTAGATGATTTCGAAGAAGGATCTGTTAGACAAATGTTAGATCTATCACAACAGCAATATACAGCAAGAATTGAACAATTAAATAGTGAACTTGTACAAGCATGGCATTCTGATCAAAGGGTTAAAGCGCTAAAAATAGCTATTCAGGTTTTCATTTTTCCAATCTTATAATGTTACGTATATATATATATATATATAAAGAAAAACGTAAATTAATACTAAATTATTTTAGTGTGCCAAATTGTTAGTAGATACATCTGTTACGGCTTTTTACCCTAGCAAATTTGTTCTTATCACTGACATCTTAGATATTTTTGGGAAACTTGTGTATGAAAGATTAAAAGTTAAAGCTGAATATTACAAGTTAGTATTATATTCTTTTATTTAAATTTATACTTTACGTTTTCAATTTTTAATAATTTTCCACTTCATCTTTTATTGAACATGGAATGACAGTAAGGTGACCCATGCAACTATGGTTTCTTATATTGTTGAATCAATTTATATAAGAATGTTACAAGCCAAAACAGGTGGATATAAATTTAATTTATTGTAGTTGTATGGGATACCAACTAATTCTGCATAATCCTCAAATAAAATTGTTTATCTCATAATATTTTGTAGACCAGGTAGTAAGGTACCAACAAGTTTACCAGATAATTTTACACCAGACATGGTACCTGAGAATGCAAAAGAAACATGTAGAAACTGGTTTTATAAAATTGCATCAATAAGAGAATTAGTTCCACGCTTGTATGTGGAGATGGCGATAATAAAATCTTACAGCTTTTTGACAACAAGGTAAGATGTTATTTTCCATGTTATGGTAAAAATAGTGAAGTATTTTATACAAACATTTGCATGGTTGCAAGAGTAATTTATGTTCGTAGTATTTATTTTGGTTTAATTTTTTATTGTTTAGTTCTGAATTAAATTCTCTCTAATGATTAAGAACAAGAAATTATTTTAAACATTATTGNTATTTTCCATGTTATGGTAAAAATATTGAAGTATTTTATACAAACATTTGCATGGTTGCAAGAGTAATTTATGTTCGTAGTATTTATTTTGGTTTAATTTTTTATTGTTTAGTTCTGAATTAAATTCTCTCTAATGATTAAGAACAAGAAATTATTTTAAACATTATTGTATCCTACATTATTAAATACATTTTGTGGTCTATAATTAAGCTAGATATATTTTGTTTTGTTCTTATTTACTACTTCTTTTTATTAAATTTTTATTTTATTGTAAAATTATATGAAGACATATTATCCAAAAAAGATAGAGTATTAAAATCCAGATAGCAGTAATAGATAAATGTGGTATTAATTTCAATTTAATTCTTTTTAATTTCAGTGAATTTAATAGTGCTCTGCTCAGAATAACTCAAATGATTCGAGGAATTGGAAATCCTCTTATAGCAGTATATGCTAGATGTTACTTATGTCGCGTGGGACTAGCTTTAAACAAAACATCTGATTTTGAGTTTATAAGAAACAATTTTTATGACTTTCTCTGTACATACCAGCAATTATTTAGCCCTTTCATAAAAGATGGACTGAGTAAGCAGAATATGACTATATATTCGTATTTAAATCTTTATTCGCCAGCTTTGGATTGGATTTTACAAATTTTGGTTGCAACAACTCCTGAAAATCAGTTAGAAGGTGTAATTTCTCAATGTAGAAAACAAAAAAATAGGTGATTATGTTATTATTCCTGCTATTATACTATTCATATTAGTAAACAGTACTCATATTAATTCAACTTATTGTCTTATAGCTCATTGCTGTTGAATAGCGTTTTAACAGCCTTCAAACCATCATATATTGCTGCCCGGGCAATAAACTTTTTAAATTTGATAACTGTGATTCAAGATGATGGTAATTTAAAAAGATAAATGCATTCACTCAGAAATTAAATTTAATATTTTATGATTATTCACATTATTATAATTTCTCAGGTTATCCACAATATCAGTTATACAGAAGTTTTGGTGAATGTTTAATACATGAATCACCACCAAAAGAAGATTGTCAAACTATTCTTAATATAATATGGAAATATTTAACAGATTTAACAAATCCTAACAAATTTATGCAATGTGTGGAGATTTGGATACAGTTCACCGCTATACATTTTTCTGTAAGTTTCATTATTAACACTAGAACTATTAGATTTGTCAAAATGACAGATTTTAGGTTCTTTATTTTATAATTATTGGGATTATAAAAAAATTATTTGTAGTCATTTAATCGACATAACTATTTGCTCAGGCGTATTTTATAATAAAACTTGTGCAATGCTTTAGTAACTGCGATTTTGTTATTTTTGAAAGGAAATACAAAACTAGTCGCTTTTAACGCTCGGTAGTTCTAATGTTAATTTTATTTAAAAGTAAAAAATTATTTAATCAAATCACTAATTATGTTGTTACAGGTAAATGAGTTAAATCTGTTTTTCGGAAAAATAATTGATCGATTAAATCCGAACAAAAACTTTGAGCATCACTATACACAATTACAAAACATTATTGAAAAAATTGTAGCCCATACTCAAGATTTTGAATCTTTACTTGCTATGGTAAATATTATCTGTATCTTATTTTTTATTACAATGTTTTTCATGAATTATATGTACAAAATATTCTAGGAAACATTTTTCAGGATAATTTCTTACCTTTCATCGATTTGTTCCACAAGGAAACTGTAAAAGTTGAAGTTTGTAAAACTATTATAGAAGGTTTAAGTGTTCAAAGCAGTTCCATAACTGATCCTATTGTTATAAATGCTCTCATGTTTATCGCTAGAATAATGCACGATTCTGTTAGGTAAATGTATTTTTTTTTGTTTAAAGATACGTATTTATTACATCATAATAAGTCAATAATTTCAGTGCTTTAACCGTTGAAGACGAAAAGCGACAAATCGGACAACTTATATGTAGCTTAGTGCAACGTGTTGACTACGATCGCGATTTCGAAAAACAACTTAACTTTTATGCAGAAGCCAGAGCTGCTTTCCCTAATCTCGATAGTGTACATGTACAACTTGTACAGGTTTGTGCTGTTAGATAATCATTTACCTATTGTATATGATAAATATCTAGTCAAAATTTCTGTCAAACTGTCTATAGTCAAATCAATGTTTCTCTATGCGCAGTGTGTAAATAGATTATCGGTTGACACCCGAAAAATTGTTCGTGGACATCACACAAGAAGAACGTCGGCATTCGTTCGTGCATGTGCTGCGTTTTGTTTTATTACAATTCCATCGCTAACATTAGTTCATACACGCTTACAGTTGTATTTATTGTCAGGACAAGTGGCTCTTTTGAATCAATGTTTAGGTCAAGGTAATTATTTATATTTGTCTTTATAGACAATTAACATTTACAATTATTACTAATTATATAACATCTTCTTAGCTGATGCATGTTTTAAGGCTGCTTTAAGCTTAGTTCCTGAAATGCCAAAAGCTATAGACATAGATGGAAGACAGAAAAACTCGCAGCCATATTTACTTTCATATTTATCAAATTTTTTATCAACTTTGTTAGTGGTTCCGGTACGTTCTCTTAAATTTATGTAAAGTAAGCAGTTCATATAGACATTAAACTAAACATTATAATAATTATATTAGGATAGTCCAGAGTATGGTGTTTTATATTTGATGAGAGGTTTGCTCAATGCTGTTCAACGTTCCTTTGAGGAAAATGTATCAACAAAGGCATACTTGTATTTACGTGTGCTTGATTTATTATCAGTGGTAACTCAAGAAAATTATCCGTACCATATTGACAAGGTATGTCTAATACAAATGATAATTTAAGACATCGATACATTAATATATTACAATTTTCGTTACATATACAGGTTGATTCGAATGATAAGTTGTATGGATCTGACCAAAAATTTATAAGTGAAGTTAACAAAATATGTTCAAAAATTGTAGAAGAAATTTTGTCTCATTTGAAGTATCTTGGAACCACAGATCAACTTGAGAAACAAGCAAGCCTTGCACTCGAGCTTTTTAATTGTTTTGTTATAAGAGCTGACCTGCGTGATCCATCACTGGCTCATATGGCTGTGAATTTATGGAATTTATCTCAACGACATAATTCCCTTGATTCAAAAGTTAAGGTAAAAGATCATAAAAGAATATTTTTCAGTAAAATAGCTTATCAAATATTGAAACTTATTCTCTTTTCAGATGAAAACTATAGCTTACATGGTACAAAAGAGTCATCACAAGGAGTATAAACATTTTGCGGATATTTTAAAAAAGATGTTAAAATAATCGTTCGATCGGAATATAGCACTAAACGAATCAAAATTGTAATTTTATGCATATATTTATGGAGAGGAAGTAAATGTAGAACTACAACACATGGTATAGAAGGCATTTAGTAACAGTTCTTTTGGAAGACATTAATTGTAAATACATTGAGTTTTTCTTAATATTAAACATTTTGCATACAGTAGATAACAAAGCAATTATAACTCTGTCTCTTATACACATCTAGATGTGTATAAGAGACAGCGCTTACAGTTGTATTTCTGTCTCTTATACACATCTAGATGTGTATAAGAGACAGCGCTTACAGTTGTATTTCTGTCTCTTATACACATCTAGATGTGTATAAGAGACAGCGCTTACAGTTGTATTTCTGTCTCTTATACACATCTAGATGTGTATAAGAGACAGCGCTTACAGTTGTATTTCTGTCTCTTATACACATCTAGATGTGTATAAGAGACAGCGCTTACAGTTGTATTTCTGTCTCTTATACACATCTAGATGTGTATAAGAGACAGCGCTTACAGTTGTATTTCTGTCTCTTATACACATCTAGATGTGTATAAGAGACAGCGCTTACAGTTGTATTTCTGTCTCTTATACACATCTAGATGTGTATAAGAGACAGCGCTTACAGTTGTATTTCTGTCTCTTATACACATCTAGATGTGTATAAGAGACAGCGCTTACAGTTGTATTTCTGTCTCTTATACACATCTAGATGTGTATAAGAGACAGCGCTTACAGTTGTATTTCTGTCTCTTATACACATCTAGATGTGTATAAGAGACAGCGCTTACAGTTGTATTTCTGTCTCTTATACACATCTAGATGTGTATAAGAGACAGCGCTTACAGTTGTATTTCTGTCTCTTATACACATCTAGATGTGTATAAGAGACAGCGCTTACAGTTGTATTTCTGTCTCTTATACACATCTAGATGTGTATAAGAGACAGCGCTTACAGTTGTATTTCTGTCTCTTATACACATCTAGATGTGTATAAGAGACAGCGCTTACAGTTGTATTTCTGTCTCTTATACACATCTAGATGTGTATAAGAGACAGCGCTTACAGTTGTATTTCTGTCTCTTATACACATCTAGATGTGTATAAGAGACAGCGCTTACAGTTGTATTTCTGTCTCTTATACACATCTAGATGTGTATAAGAGACAGCGCTTACAGTTGTATTTCTGTCTCTTATACACATCTAGATGTGTATAAGAGACAGCGCTTACAGTTGTATTTCTGTCTCTTATACACATCTAGATGTGTATAAGAGACAGCGCTTACAGTTGTATTTCTGTCTCTTATACACATCTAGATGTGTATAAGAGACAGCGCTTACAGTTGTATTTCTGTCTCTTATACACATCTAGATGTGTATAAGAGACAGCGCTTACAGTTGTATTTCTGTCTCTTATACACATCTAGATGTGTATAAGAGACAGCGCTTACAGTTGTATTTCTGTCTCTTATACACATCTAGATGTGTATAAGAGACAGCTTTTAGTACGTCTCATACAGTTGGCACACACTATTAATTTCTAATAGTGTTTAAACTAAATTGTATTATATCATGGAAATTTGATAGATTTCTCAGATAAATATAAAATAGCATTTATACTTTAATAATTATGTATGTTGACTTGTTCTATAACATGATAAAATTGATATACAAAAATAATGCACCAACTTTAAAAATTATTTTAACAGACCTCACAATATTCATTATTGTAGTGGAAGACTTGATTTCAACTGCCACATGGCATATAGTTCATAATACAATGTATCTACAACACTATTTCTTTAAAACAGATCGCAATCTGCTTAAAAATACATCTGCGTGATTTTCCGTAAACGTTAAGGCCGGCCTTAATCTTATCGATAATGCCCCACAGCCACCAGTTTGAATACCTACAAAACAAGTTATTTTTGTTAGTTACATATTATTTTACTTGAAACAATATAATTTAATCTTCTGCAGACGTATCTTATTTTTATTAAACAAGAATTACCTTTTGCTAGTAATTCCTGAATTGTTTTGTCGCGAAGTTCAGACGTAGCACAGTTGAATGCAATAAATGTCCCTCGGCCACGGACCGAATTGATTGTGCTAGAAAATTCGTTTTGTAAGCTCATGAGTTGCTTTAATGTATAGTCGCCGACACGTCTGACTCTTTCCAGAAGATTTTCTTTCTGAATAGTATCTAGAACTGCTTCAAGTAATATCACTTTACTAGGATCTCCCATCCAGGTATTAAATACACGGTATCCCAAGTTGGGTCTGTAATAATATAATGCTTACATGTATATAGTGTACTTGAAAATGTAAGACTTTCCGAAACATGCGTATTCCCTGCGTCATGAAAATGCTTAAAAAAAAAATTATTGAAGTAACAGATTTCAAATATTAAATCATCAATTTCGGTTAATGAACGTTCATTCAGTAATGAACTTTCCAATACGTAATTGCGTGAGGAATAATCATGTTTCAGAAATGTTCTATATCTTCTATTGCTGAATAAGTAAGTATTTCTTAATTTACTTTAAAGCTTCGGCGTGGTAGTAGCCACCCATTTGCATTTTTTTACTAAAGGTTACTATGTCTGGCGGAAATTCCAAATTGAAGTGCTCGTGGCACCACATTTTTCCTGTTGGGCCACACCCTGTTTGAACTTCGTCGATTAATAAGGCTACTCCATGCTGAAATATTAACAAACGTGTTACTAAGATTGATAATATTTTTAAATATTATAATTAAACGTGTGCATAAATGATTATTACTTTCTTCGTCAAACGTTGTAAACTTTGGAAAAATTCAGGCGAAGCATGATTATCTCCTCCTTCCGATTGGATTGGCTCCACTATCACACCAACGACAGGAACTTTTTTTTCATTTTTATACTTCTCGAACAATTCTTCAACCTAGTAAACAATGTTGTGACGTAATTTGTTGTAATTTATATATTTATTTAGAGAAACCAAACCTGTCAAAGTAACGAACTCTTTTTAAGTTCTTTATTTTACAATTATTGAGATTGTAAAGATGTTTTCGTGAGCGAATGCTACATAGAACTATTTATTCCGGCACATTTTCTAATAAAAATCGTGCAGTATCTCGATAAATACGGTTTTGTCGTTTTTAAAAGGCGACGCAAACTAGTCACAGCGCTCGGTTCTAACATTAAAGTGTGATGCATTAAACACTAAAAATCGTGACATATTAAACAGAAACTTTAGCAACTATATACCTCGGCTAAACAACGTTGATCTTCCTGTTCATTTTCTCGTACGTGATCATTCAATGGATATTTGTACTGAGGAAACGAGGCAATCGGCCAATCGAATGCTGGAATATCCATTTTATGAATGTATTTGCTATGCGTCGTCGAAAGAGTTCCCAACGTTCTTCCGTGAAAAGCACCTAACAATGTCGACATTATCTTCTTAATTCACAAAATTCATTGATGTTATTTCTGTTAGTTAATTAGTATTACCTTTGAATGAAAGAATGGAATATCGCGGTGAACCAGGAAGCTGATTCATCATGCAACTTTCCATCTCTTCCTTCGTGAAAGGGGCACCTTTCCTGTGTTTTTCGGCATACCAAATGAAAATATTTTTAAAAGCGTTTTCGTTTGAACAGGAACCGCACATCATGGTTGTAATGTGAGATAATCCTGGAGGAGCAATCTGTGCATATAATAAATATAATGTACGATTTCGTTAATTAGTATAATTGGTTGTACACATAATAACCGCGCGCTACGTACCCCTTTTTGAAGCGTAATCTTCTTTAATTTAGACGGCCAATCCTTCCCGGGGAAGACACCCAACGCTGGTCTATTTGCTATAATTTTCTGTTAACAAAATTCAATGCCGCTTAAATATTAACGATAGAAGACATATTCTTGGTCAGAATAATTTTGACTAAATTATTTAAAACGAAAAAATAGGGGACATCGATAATCTCTTACCTGATTGACAGGATCAGCAAGTGCTCTTAACATAGCCGGATGGTTGTAGCCTAAAGGCATCGATGAAATTTGCATATACACATCGAGCAAAGCGTTCCCATCCACATCCATTATGTAGTTACCTGTCGATTTTTCGTAATCCGCGAAGAATTGTACGGAAGCGGCTTGCTGGGGACAGAAATTCCGTCATGTTTCATCACTATCGCACATATTTAGCAAAAATTGCTATTCGAAATAAAAGTGATTTACTGCAGCAGACAAGTATGATAATTTTAACATCTGGCTAACAAGCAATAATAAAGACTTTAATGTAACAAATCAATAGCCCGATTGATACAAAATTACACAATAATTTCTTTTCGAAACTATTCGAGAATAGTATGCGTCTTCAAATCTGATGCTTCAAGTTACCGCTTTAACTTATCGCTGTAACTTATCATCTTTAACTAATCATTCAATTTCAAGTATCATATGTCGTAGTGTTTAACTTATTTGAAGTATCACGTAACATGAAATAAGAACATTGAAAATATTTAGACGTATTTCGTGTACTTGTATCTTATTGAGGTCTCGTAACAAAGTGCGTGATTGAGGTCCCGGTATTTCCGTTGCGACTATCGGCATTTTTGGTTCTTCCGACAAAACTCCAGTGAGGCATCTTTTCCACGGAATTACATGTCCTGCATGGAAATAGCACATTGTTACTATAGCGTGCTAAAACATTGTCATTTCAAGGAACGAAAATTATATGTTTGTAATGATATTTTGTTTCTAGTCCAGCTCGCTGGAAGTTCATGTTTTGTGTAATATTTCCATGCAAACTCGGGCGGGAAAGGTGGAAATACTAAATAAACTACTGATTTTCATTAGTAAGAATAGTTTTAACACGAGAATTTCACGAGTAGTTATCGTATAGTGCCGAGATGAAAATGCTTGCGACAAATCCACATGTGAGATAGTACGCTTCAATCACGATAACATTTGCCTCGGAATAACGTATCGCTATTAGTATCGTCGACTTAAATCACGTTAAGCCCCGAGTTTAATAGATCGCATGTTTAGTTTCATTGATGTCAGTTAAGGATGATTGGTTGACATACTGACGCACTTTTACACGACTCATATGCTTGCTACATTACAATGGGGAATGCTCATTTTGTTATCGATTTATGAATCTTGACAATGTTTGCGCGCACCATTTGCTCAGAAATATATTTATTCTTTACAGATTCATCGGTAGAAGTGTAGCTCTTGGAAAGATTCGTAACAAACTGGGAGAAATGCTTTTTGACATTTATATTATTTAACACATGTAGCGATGTATTTATTCAAATGTATATTTAGAAAATTGATACAATTGATCGGTTAATTTGAAAATCATTATGGTCGATCGGTTATTTAGAAGATTGGTATGCATTGTCGGCGTATTCATAAAATTTGTACGTAACATTAGTACAGTTTATAAACCAGAATGTACACCTTACTTCGTTTAATATTGTCGTATGTTCTGCAATGTCTTCGAATACAATTTGGTTCCACATTGATATTGACGATAACATGTTTTCAAATTGTGGTACCGAACACAGCTGAGTAATTAGAACCGGATTAAAATTCTTACTGTCAGTTGAATGATGAAAATGCGTGAAGAATAAGATATTATTAAGCTTCAATTCATTTCCGTAAGCACAAGGCCGATAAACAAGTTTATTGGCCACACTAACCGTGACGTGTATATGCGCGTTAACAGCGACAATTTTGTTCATCTGTAGGATATCCAAGATTTCGATAAGATAAGTAACGGAGCTGATGTAGACAAATTTTGATAAGGAGTACAAGAGCGTAAAGGAACAAAATCTTTCAACCAAATGTGCATTTTCCAATCGTAAAATTCATCATAATTTTCCATTACTCCACTGTTAAAAACAATAGAAATTTAATTAAAAGATTGCGATCTTGTTCATTTTCAGCAAATGTCTGCCAATGATGGTATCTTGATTTAAGAAGAGCCAGTGTTAAACTCGTACGTTACACACGAACATCGAAACTGTCGGATATCAAAAAAGAGAAACAGAGATGGAGGTGCAAGGAAGAGGGCCGAGCTATCGATTCTTCGAGCACCATGCGCGTAGTGATTTATGTATATTCATAAGTTTCTGGTTCTCGCGCGGATGCCTCGTTAAACATAACTCGAAAGAAGCGTAAATATATAGCGTAAAATGATCATAAATACCATTGATAAATTGCCATGACAAGGTTCGAGTACTCAGTACTGCTTGATACTTATTGGCGAGCATTTTGCGGTAGTCGGTGCAGAACGTGCCTCACGAAGGGATGGACTCGCACTGGCGGCCACTGAACTGGCACAGCTCCGCTTATCCTTGCGCAGGAACTAGTGTATCTGGTTGGTTCCGAGACTGTGCGAACCTTCACGAACCAGTTTGTTTTAATCGTACAAATGCCACTGGAATCGAACGAGCCTTTCAACAATTTCCACCGATCTCATGTGTCGACGGGCCGCTGTCCAATTGAGATATGAGCCTGGACACATCGTATTATTGATAAAGAAGACTTCGAGCCCCCATCTTCCTATAGGGCGCTTTCATTCGTGCACGGTCACGTACGAAGTTTCACGAATATTTAAACCCAGTGGCGCGTATGCTCGCAAACACTTCTTTCACTAACCTACTATAGCGACGCTTCTCTCTGTATCCAGCTCGTAACCCCTCTTGTTTTCAATTTAATATCCCCTTCCCCTCGCTTGCAAGAACACCGTTGAACGAGAGATCTATCGATCATGGCCGAGTAACAATCGAGTGTGGTTCGAGTATAGCGAAGTGGGCGCTTAAACTAACTCTTATCAATGTAAAATTATATATGTATATATTCTTCTTGTTTTAAGTTTATTTAAATTTGTGTCTATATAATATTATACATATATATAATATTATATTTGTACTTATAATTCTATTTTTTTAACCCTATCATTGAATATATATTTGATCTTACCTAAATCTATATTATAACATAAATTAATGCAATTCTCGCTTTCCTTTCTCTTCTTTTCTTCCCTCTCTTTTCCTATCGATCTAATATTTCGTGCCTGCCTGATTGCACTATTTTCTAGTTTTAACAGTGGCTTATTGTCCACATTTCTAAACCTCAAAGAATACATTTTTTCCTTTTCTATCTGGTACCTGTTTCTCTCTTTAAATTTTCCAGTAAATCGCGTAGCTCTGTCTAATAACTTATTCATACTTGAACATTCTATTTCCTGCTTTTATTACCTAATCTCCGCTCTGTTTATGTCTTCGAGTACTATGTGTATACTCGGTAGTGCAGTAGTCGAGTTCCTAGCAATATTTCAAGTATTTAGTTTCTACTGGTTATATTTTTTGACACTTTTTTCATCCAAAACTTCCTCCCTGTATACACAGTAGTATTCCTACTACTAGATAATCGAAAGTAAACATCCCTCTCTTAAAATCGTCATCAACTTTTGCCTCATTTCTATTTCGCCACTTTATTAGACTTCAGTCTATTTCTGATTTGAGGCAGTTTCTTTGAAATCGTACACCTATAAATATGCAAATTCTTTAACTTCATTGATTCCTAATCCTTCCTAACGAAGGGTTTATCCTGTCGATAAATAAAGTTATTATTATTATTACTATTATTATTATTAATTTCATTTTTTATGTGCTTTACCATCCGCTTTCTTAAACACCATAAATTCGTATTTATCCGCACATAACATTAATTTTCTCTTATCTAAATATTTCTCTAATTTTCTTATCATATATTTCACTCCTTCTTTTTTGGTCGCCACCAATAATTATACTGCGGATTTTTATGCAAAATAAAAATTATCAAAGTTAATTGTAAGAAACATGAGTCTGATATAAATGTCATTTCTCGTTTAATCATTTTAATAAGTTGTACATAATGTAAAAATATTACAGTTCTGTTTTCGTCCAAATCGTTTTTGTAAAAAATGAAAATACGACAATGAAAATACAGGAAAAATCTAATTTTGATGGTCAATACTAGAACAACGATGTATATTATTTTATAACAATGATGAAATTGCATTTACTCAAACTTTGTAAGATCTCTATTACAATATATGCTTCACTTCACGCGAAGTTTATCAACATATTTCTCATGGCAATGTTTCTATAATTTCGGCAACTTTTAAGAGAAATGTCAGAAACCAGTCATTTCGACTGGTGTAGTAGTTTTAGTATTAAAAGTGCTAAGGTAAACAAATGTTGTAATTTCTTGACTAAACAAAGTGAAATGGTCAGACTACAATTATTGATACAATCCAGACAGTTCGTTTAGCTTATTTTACGGATAGCAAACGACTTTGGTAAATAAGATCTTTCGTGGTTAAAAGTAAGAATAAAAGACAACTACCATGAAATACAAACAGGTTCGAGAAATTGGCTTTCCCCTTGCACAGTTTTCGTCAACTTGATTTTAAAATACCTCTGTACTTCGTGCCGCGAATAATGATGCACCTATCAATTATTGTAATGAACTACAGTAGAGAAAGTAAAATTTCGTTTCCCGAAATCTGGCGTTATATTAGCAAAATCAATACATTGTGGAAAACGAATCGAATTAAGTGTAAGTAATATCGTTGATTCCATATCAGATCTTCATATGAATATTTCAATAGTTTATATGTAATGCCATGTCTACTCTTACCTATATTATTACTTATTACGTTATTAGGAATTCCATTTCGAACTAAAGTTAATTTAGTTTATTATTAATTTATTAATTATTATTTTATTTAGTGATAACGAAATAGAGATTGATGTAAGTAGATAACGATGAAATTATGAGATTAATATATTTAAGCCAACCGTTAAAATGATTTTAATTTAAATAATATTTTTTATTTTAAGCAAATCGTAAAAAAATTATACTAGAAACTACATACATTGAAATAAGAGTTGATTTGATTTGATAAGATTTGCTCATTTTACCCTTTACATGCCAGTGTTCCTAAGTAAAGACAGTCCATTTATTCACACTCTATTATTTAGTCATTTTTGTTCATTAATTTGTTTTTTAGTGGTATTAATAATGAGTTGCATGTAAAATATTTATTAGTAATATTCTTTCATTAGTAGTGTTTTTCGAAACTGTTCAATTTGTCGGCTTTTTTTGATACGTAGCGTAGGATTGTTTGGTACGTTAATAGCAATATCTATTGCTCTCTCTTGTTCCGAAAATTGTGAACGAGATATGAAAACAAATTAAAAGAAATGTTTCAGTTACTTATAATAGAGATTATTATTAATAATAATTGATCAATGTTCTATTATATCAATATTTAAGAAATCAATAATATGTATGGTTTTCGGAAAATGTGGTGCATAAAATTTTAACACAAAAAGTTGATCAAGTGAAGAAGGGAAAGAAAAATACAAATTTTTGTAGGTCTGTAATCAGTTTTGTGAAAGGTTATTCATTATTCAAAATTTGGAAGCATTTCTTTCGTAGATGGTCATAAGCTTGTCAAACTTGATATATGTGTAATACACGTTACATTAAAAAATTTGGAACACATATGCTGTGATTACAGTTTCGGAGCCTCGCAGAAATATTTACAATAAATTAAAATGCAGCGTTAATTATCAGTCATTTTTAGTGTCCTTATTTTTAAAGTCGTAACGGTTTTCGCAAGGATTCATTAAGAACTCGTGAGCGAATAAAAGTAATTTACTGGACGCATTACAGTTTTTTAGTCTTTCGCAACCTTCTCAAATGTTCTTTTACATTTCACATTTGAACGCGTTTGATTTTCACTTCTCAGCTTCCAAAAAATATAGTCAGCCACAGAGGTGGCTTTACGAGGATAACAAGACTGAATTTCTTTGACATTTTCGCTGTTTTTATTGTAGTAGATTTATCCAATCATTCTCTCTGAAAGTCTTTATAATTACATTTTAGATATAATTAGATATAATTAGTAGATTTCGTGTTAATTTTGAAAAAAAAAGTTTCAGAGGTATGTTACAAAATTAATTGTATCGATTATTATAATCATTGCGACATTTTATGCATATTCAACATATTCCTGGTGACTGTGGATTTTCATAAGGTTGTGTTTCCGACGATTATTCAGAAATTATTCAAAATTCAGTCAACAATCTCGAAAACTCCATAAAATCAAAGAAATTTATATGTTTATTTATTTGCTTATAGTAGTTCGTTTATTTATCTATAACCGCTTGGATATCTAATTTTCTATAAAAAACTAGTATTACATTATTTTTACTAAAATCCAATGCTTTAGAGAGAGGATATTTTAATTTCAATATTACAAAAGTATACTAATAAAACTCATAACACAGCTTCTTCTCTTAAATTTAATGTTCAGGAATATATTTGTCAATATAAATACCTTTATGAAAAACCTTTCTCAATATTCGATTTCAAATATCTTTTTAGCTATTAGCTTGTGACTTTAATTAACTTAATATTGCAGAATGCGATATTTAATAATGCATTAAAGTTATACCTATACAGTCAAACCTCGATATTTCAAATCTTAATAAACCTACAATTTCATTTACATATTTTTTTCTCTTAAAACCTCTGCAAAACAAAACACAAGATTACTTACTTGAACACTACCTTTATCATTCTTTTCTATTGTATACAGTAGAATATCGTTTACCCGGTCCTCCAATATCTGATTTAGCTATTATGCAAATACTTTTCACTTGTAGTGAACTGAATTAAAAGCAAACCATATGCAAAACGATTTACTGTAAATGAAGATGAAAATCTGCCACTCTAATTAAGTAACTATAACGATTATCCGAAAATCCATGTCATTCTGCTTAGCCCGGATAATCGATATTCTACTGTACCTATTTTTACCAAATTAATTTTATAATCATTATAGCTAGTAGTGAAACTAAGGAAATAATTTTGAAATTCTAAAAGATGTCTTTTAATCCCTTTGCAAAACTAGTGATAAATTCAAATCTTAACAAATGGCTCTTGACCACTTTGATAAAAATAATGTTAAATTGAAATATTAACAGCCGTTTTTTTAGCCTTTTGGTAAAATCGGCGCACTTAAATGTTAACAAATGCTTTTTGATCCTTTCAGTAGAACAGCGTGTTGCATCAAAATTTGAACAAGTGTATTCTGACCTCTTTCTAAAAAACAGTATTAAATTGAGATGTTAACAGATATTTGACTCCCTTGGTAAAAACAGTGTGAAATAAAATAAAAATCGTAAAGTGAAAATGTATGTCACCGATTGCTCTTTCAACATTCTCGCATTTTTCAAGTACTAACCGGCATATTCAATCTATCGGGATAAAAGTGAATCCTCAAGTTGTGGCAAATCATTCCGTCACCAAAATATGTTTAACCGAACATTCGATAAGTTAAAAAATCCGCAATTTGACGGTAGCAAGATGAATTTCCGCGTCCAGCTACGAATATGAAAATTAATAAAGCCCCGAGAAATTTGCACGAGTTGTACCTAGCGATCGAACTACTTTGACAGACAGAAGGTGATCTGGCAGATTTTCGGTCATCAATACGCGCATTATCCTAATGTATCTGGAAACCACGCCTTAAATGCTTTGCTCTTGGACACTGGGTAGTGGTAGTCAAGTTTTTCGGCAGTGGCGA